TGTACATTTACCCAATTAAATATGAGAAAATATGAGGTTTAAATTAAAATTTGGTGTCTCTAGCTAAGGTCCAATTCCGCCGATTCGCCCATATGCATGGTTTGTGAATACCCTGGACACGGTGGTGAAATTCAAAAAAAGAAATTTCAACAACAATTACTGATCATTCCATAATTGGAATTTCTTTGCTTTGTTTCCAACTATAGGCACAATGGTATTCTAAAATCATCCAACAACAGACAATACGTAATTGTGCACTCGATGTCTAAGCCTCAAAATACATGTCGCGAGGAACCGTGGCACAATGTGAAATAACGTATAAAATTATACCAATAGCTTATATATTCTTTACATTCGTAGATTTAAGTCTTGACAATATATAAAAAAAAATGAAATTTTGTTTGATTTACCTTCAAAGTTAAATTCAGAAAATCTTATTTTATTTTTCCGATTTATAATTTAACATAGTAAAAATGTTATTGATAAAATCCTATTTATTTTCGAAATGCGTCACTTATTTGTTAACTTTGAAACGCCCAATTGTTATAAATTAAATTTATGGCGATATTAATATTATTAAATTTTCTTAGCAGTAATTAATGTTAAGCAGACTATAGCTATAATTGTTTATCCAACTAATATATGAATGTTAATATTCTGTATAAAATATATTTATACATATTCTTTATATTCAATATATTTATTTATTTCTGACGTTTAAAAGTGCATTATTATACGCAAATGAAGCAATTACTTAATGCAAGAAGCAATAACTAGTTTTAACCTGCTTTTTTATGCAATTTCACATGAAAATACGTACATCTGATTTGCAGTACTCGTTGTATAACGCCTTATTGTCCGCATTGTATAAATAACTGTACAGTACGTACGTTTGTATTTTTAATAACAGATAACGATAACGATAATAATGGCCTCAACATATCTTAGCGACGTAACTGATGATATTAAACAATTATATGAAACTAAAGAAGACTATGATGCGATTATTATTGCTGGAAATGAACCAAATGTTAAAGAATTTCAAGTCCATACTTTGATTCTTCGTATTAGATCATCTTACTTTCGTAGTGCATTTTCTTCTAATTGGGCTATAAGAAATAATAATGGTCATTTAGTTTTAAAAAAACCTAATATTAGTGCATTAGTCTTCGAAATTATCCTTAAGTAAGTAATGAACTTTTAAACTATAATAATAATAATTCAAGATTCTAATGGTGCTAATTTCATGTTAAAACTATCACACGTTCAAAAAGGTATCTTTATTGTGGAATTGTGGACTTTCAAAGCCAAAATAACGAAATAATCTTAGAACTTTTAGTTGCTGCAGATGAACTTGGAATTCAAAGGCTTATTAACTCTGTCAAAGAATTTTTATCCAAAAATTGTGGCAAGTTCTTACAACCAGATCCCATTAAAATGCTTGACACGGTTATCTGTCATAATGTATTCGATAATCTTAAAAATGTTTATTTAAAGACCTTTAATGAAAATTATAGAGATTTTTTGCAAAAAGATCCTATTAAATTACTTCATTTTATTATCCGTCGAGAAGAATTTAGCGAACTTATAAAACTTTCTTTAGAGATTATTTGTGAAAATCCTAAATTAATATTTAATTCAAACGAGTTCCTTTCATTAGAAAAAGATGTATTGATATTGATTCTTAAGTGTGATGACCTCGAAATGAAAGAAAGTGAAATTTGGAAACAGTTAATTAAATGGGGAATCGCTAAACATCCGAGGCTTCCAAATGATATCAAAAACTTTACACATGAAGATTTTAAGGTGTTAAAAGGAACATTACATGGATTAATTCAATTTGTTAGATTTCATCAAATAATTGGTGAAGAGTTCATGTGTGAAGTATGGCCATCTAGACACCTCCTTCCTGATAGCCTAATTGAAGATATATTTCGTTGCTATTTAGTTTCAAGTGCCGTACCGAAGTATCATGCATTTCCAGTCAGATGGGGCAATATTAATATTATACTAGATTCAGTTTTAGTTAATAAAAAGTTTATATTTTTATTAACAAAATGGATAGATAACAAAGCTATAGATGACACTAATCAAAAAGAATTTCGATATAAATTTAATCTTCTTTTTCGAAGTAGCATACATGGTCTTACGTCTCAAATATTTCACCAAAAATGTGATAATAAAGGGGCAACGATCGTTATAGCGAAAATTTCAAATTCAAATATGCTGGTTGGTGGTTATAATCCACTTGACTGGAATGGAAATGGTATATATAAAGAAACAACAGATAGTTTCATATTTTCATTTAGTGATCCCAATAACCCTCAAAGTGCAAAATTAGGACGTGTTAATAATTATAGAAAATATGCAGTTTATTGCTATATTAGACACGGACCAACTTTTGGAAGTAGTCACGATTTTATGCTCCAGATAACAGTGACAATTGGCATTGCTGTATTAGTCCAACTTCCTCCTACCCTGACGTAGGAATTCCAAGTTCATTTAGAATCTCATATTATGAAGTGTTTCAAGTAGTTAAGAATTAGCATGAAATCTTGAGATTAAATCATATTTCTATGGTGGAAAGTTGTGACAGAACTGTTTTTTATAGTTTTGTTCAAACGAGGGATTTGTTAAGAGATGCTTGTTTATCATATAAGAATACAGTATACTTTATAAATAAATAATCACATTTATTTTATATTTTAATGACTATCGGTATGATATTGTAATTATATGCAACAAATCATTTCCTATTGTGAGACCCGAAACCCGTGATCGATCACGTGAAAAATGCGAAATGCCGAAAGTGCAATTAATTACATTTATGATCGAAAAAGGTAGATAGAAAGTAAAGGGAGGATGTACGTACAAATTAACCATCCTTAAAAATATTAGGGAAATAATTGTAAACAGTTTTAAATAGTTTTATAG